TGAAACACAGCTAGGTCTCCCTTGGGCAAATGGAACAGCCCACAAGGGTCTTGACTGGAGCAGGCCGTGTGCAGTACCTGCACTGGCCACCAGGCCAAGCGCGTTTTTTCGGTAGCCCGCTTCTCAAGAAAAAGGAAGCGCCCGCCCCTGTCTGGAAACAATGCTCTCGCCACTCCCCCGCAAATTCCTGCCATAAGGATCAATGGAGTGATGCCACGCAAAACAAGCTCAGAGGCCTGGCTGATGTTGAAACCATGAAAATGCGTACCCCCTACTCCAAATACCATAGATATTATGTCAGGTGTTTAGTTGCTCCTTATCTTTGGGGCCTTTTCTCAGAAGCTGCTCCAAGGTGTTTACATTGTCTGCGCAATGGGAGTTCAGCCGGTCGCCCAACTCATCTATGACTCATTGCCCCCAAAAACATGATTGTGTCCCCGAAGATATTCTGCTCGACCAGGCCTCTGGGCGTGGTAATGCGCGCCAAAAGCTCCGCAGTCCACGCTGCCTGGCGGCGCAAGTTCTCAGGTGGCTTTACGACCAGGCCCGATCTTCCCTGACCAAGCTTGTGGAAAACGGCAACTTTTGCAATCCTTCCAGAATGCTTGCCCCATAACTTGGCTTAGCAAGCCTGTAGCCTGGATGGCCCTTAAAAGGGAAGGCCCTGTCAAAAAGATTGGTTTTTCCCGGAAGCATGGCGAAGGGTTCTTCTTCTAAAGCGGCTGCGGTGAAAAAATCCGAATTCTGTTTCATATTTCGGGCCTCCTGGTTGAGACGCTGGACATCCGCGCGAAGGCCCTCGAGCTCCTGTTCCTGGAGCTGCGCCTGTAGAAAAGGTATGATCCACCACTCTTGCTCTCTCTCCGTGCCGAAACTGAAGGTTGTCACATGTGGCAGGTTCGCGTTATAGGAGGAGGGGGCACTTGACAAGAGCCAATCTGACCTTATAATGTAGAAAAACCAGCAAATCAGTCAGCGTTCATGGTGGAAGCGCAACGCAGCTTCTAGATGAAGTCCCGCCTGCGCCCGACCTGCGCCGGAGGCGGCAGCACCACCCGCGGCGGCAGCACCCGCAGGGCTCCCGCGGTTGCGGCGCGTCTTCGGCGGCAGGTGTGGGTGGGTGGGTGGGTGGGTGGGTGGGTGGGTGGGTGGGTGGGTGGGTGGGTGGGTGGGTGGGTGGGTGGGTGGGTGGGTGGGGGTGTGGGTGTGGGTGTGGGTGTGGGTGTGGGTGTGGGTGTGGGTGTGGGTGTGGGTGTGGGTGGGGGTGTGGGTGGGGGTGTGGGTGTGGGTGTGGGTGTGGGTGTGGGTGTGGGTGTGGGTGTGGGTGTGGGTGTGGGTGTGGGTGTGGGTGTGGGTGTGGGTGTGGGTGTGGGTGTGGGTGTG